TTAGACCCTACAAACTTGGTCATTTCAATTGTAAGTATTTTTTTTCATCTTCAGAGATAATGAATTTCATGTTTTATCTTGACACTTAAAGACCGTATGTTTCTTTTAAAAGCAGTTGAAATAACTATATATGAGGGTACTTCAAAAAGTTCATGGAAAAAAGTTCGTGGAAATACAGAATTGAAAAATAATGTGAATCTTTTCACGAACTTTTCGAAGCACCTATGCATTATTATGTTTTTATTCCTTCTGAATGAGCTTGTTAGATTGAAAGGGTCATAGAAGCGTACATCTGTTTAACAGGTAATGCCAAGCCTGGGCCAGGTGCTGGTGATTCAAAGAGAATTAAAGCAGATCTTCCGTGTAACGGAGGACACGCTAGCAAAGCTAGTCACGAACCTTGACATGGGCTCTGAGGGGACTGGGGGAACTCTGCAGGTGGGGGTGTTGAGGCAAGGCTGAGACGGGAGAGGGAAGGGAGAAAAGTCAGCAAGAGGAAGCTATAAGCAAAGTCCAGGGTACGAGAGAGGGTCTCCTAGTCACTGGGGCTTTAAATGCAGGGGGACAGGGCGGATCTTGAATGTCACTGAGATGAGTGGGGTTTGCATTGATCCTACAGGGCCAGGTCATGAGGTTTGTGTTTCAGAGGGTCTCTTTGGTGGCCAAGTGACGAGTAACCAGAGCAGTCAGACTGTAGTAGATCAGTTCAGGGGATGGTTCAGTTGTCCAAGTGAAAGACGAGAGTTCGAACCAGGTGTGGCTGGGGGTGAAGAGGAGATGCCCGGTGACCAGTAATAACCCTTCAGGGCACAACCCAAGGGGACACCCCCATATTCATGCTCAAGATGTTCCAAGCCTTGTGTATCACAGGGAAGAACAAGAAACAAACCAAATGCCCATGAGTAGGGAAACAGATAAACATAATGTGCTGTATTCGTACAGTGGAATGCTGATTAGCTGTTAAAAGTGATGTATGATATACCCTGACCTCATAGTAGTGGTTACCTCTGATAGGATGGGGAGAGAAATGAGACTGGTGATGATGGTCCTTTTTGAAAAATAAAGTAAAATTAGAAGCAAATATAACCAGATGTTCACTGTTGTTCATCCTGAGTGAGGAGGTTATAGTGTGAAATCATTCTTTGTATTTTTCTGCATCTAATTTTTTTTCCTCGAAGAAAAGGAGAGAGGAAACAAGACTGAATTGATTAGGTGTGGGGGAGGGTGCGAGGGAGGGGCCTACAGGTTTCTGACTTGCACAGCCAGGTCTTGGTGGCACTGTTCACTGAGACAGTTGACATCAGAGCAGGGGAGGGCAGCGCTGGTGGGGGAAGCTGCTCGAGCTGTCTAGGAAGCTGGGACATCTGATCTGAATGACACAAGGGACTATCCTAATGTAACCTCCCAGGGAATAGAGAGCCTAAGGCTACATTGCTGAAATCAGGTGTGCATTTGAAATACTGGCGAGTGAGCTTGTAATTTCTAAATCTGCGAATAAATCTGAACAATGTTGAGATCATTGATTGATTTCCTGATATTTGATTATAGGCAAAAATAGAAAAATTGAGGCAACTATTGTTCACAAATGAAGATGCATCTGGACAAGAGTTGGAGGACCAAAGGGTATGTCTTCTGTGCCCGGGTGTGCCTGGTTCAGGGCTGGGTGTAGTTGTCTTTAGATGTAGTGAGAATTCCATCTCATAAACCAGAGCAGGTTTCCTCCTTTGCAATGGATATTGGTGGGGATTCTCTGCAGCCAATTCCTGGAACCCATGGCAAACTCCAGAATTCAGGCAGGACTCTGACGTCAGATTCTATCTTCTATAGCACGCGGTGTTCCAGAACAGGGCTGCATTCCTGCTCAAAGGCTCAAAACCAAGTATTCGCTATCTACCTTGCAGTTATGGGACTTTCTGGAGCTCCCAAACATCTGTCCCTCGAGGAAGCCCGTGGGAAGTTCACATATTTAACTTGATTTTTCTGAGAACTTGTTGGGGGCATCTGGGCTGAAAGCTTGGCCCTACTGCAGCTGACTTAGCTAATGGCAAGGTATTGTCCTCTGTACACTGCCTGCTCTGCTCTGAGCTAGGGGCAAGCTGGACTCCGGGGCTCGTCTGATGGATAAGTTAGGTGTGGTCCTCTCTAAGGTTAGAGATGGGACTTTTTAATGTTCCAGTCAGTGTCTTTACGTGGATCGCCTCTTTGCTTGTGTTAGTTCATTTGTTTGTTCAGTTAGTTCATTCGATGCATCCATTTTGATTTGCTGCATTCTCGTGGTGGAACACAGCTCTGGCCTGCACGCTCTGAAAGGCAGAGTGAAGGGGACACCAGAAATAAGACTAGGGAGGAGATTCTTTGCTGCCTACCCATCTTTAAAAGCTATTACTTGCTTTTTCTCTTTTTAGATACAAGAAGCTTGGAAAAGGAGTCTTGTAAGTTTCAGCCCTTCCTATATTTTAGCCTCCTAAACTAATAAAACCAAACATACAGCTAATCTTTGTGTCTACCCTTATGAAGGCAACAGTGCATCCTGACAGCAGCAAACTGATCCCTGCTTTTTTTCGACCTGCAGGTGAGTTGGTTCTAATTTTCAGCAGTGGGTTGGAAAGACATGGTTTGTAGCACTTAGAAAACTCTGCCTGCCTTATTTTAATTTTTTTTCCCCTAGAAGGATTTCTGATGGTGGGTCTGAAACCACAGCTTAAAAAGAATGCCTGAAGGGTCTGGGGTTGTCAGTGGAGAAGAGCAGGTTCAGGGCCTAGAGCCGTATCCAGACCTGTGGAGAGATGTGGGCTTTAGGAACGAGGGACGAGCCTGCAGTAGATCCTGCCCTGCTCTATCATGCCCCAGCGAACATACCGATTACTGTATTGATAGTTCCAGACCTTGCAACTCACAAGTATTAGTATTTTTTTTTTTTTTTTTAAAGATGACCGGTAAGGGGATCTTAACCCTTGACTTGGTGTTGTCAGCACCACGCTCACCCAGTGAGCAAACCGGCCATCCCTATATGGGATCCGAACCCGGGGCCTTGGTGTTATCAGCACCACACTCTCCCGAGTGAGCCACGGGCCGGCCCACAAGTACTAGTATTAAGGATACCATTTAGTAGTCTCTCTGTTTTCATCACATCTAACTAACATGAAGGGAACAAAATTCATGATCCTTCCAACTATAAAATTCTCTCTTTGTATATTATAAATAAGAAACTGGAAATAACATAAATATCCAACAATTCAGATTGTGGTTAAATAATTCATTAAACAGAACGAGATAAGTCCTATATGCTGATATAGAAAGATGGATCTTCAGGAATTAGTATTAAGGGAAAAAAAATCAAAGCATAAAACAGTGTCTAGTGATCCTGGTCGGATAATTAAGAGCTGTGTGTGTGAGAGAATTTGTGTCTGTCCTGACAAATGTGTTCCAAATTTCATCTGGAAGGATGAACGAGTAATGGTTAATGCTGCTGACCTTTGGGGAGAGGCTGGGAGGGCCTTCTTGTTAGGTCTTTCTGTACTGTGCTGCTTTAATTTTTTGCCATATGCACATAGTTATTTTTTTATTAGGGAAAAAAAGAATTTTAGAGTAAAAAATATCCTTGGAGTTCTGTGTCTTCAGAAGGCTGGGGAAGAGGTTTTCAGGTGGGAGCAGCCCCGTGGCCTCCTGTCTGCCTGGGCAGCTGCGGTCACTGACGGAGCTTCTCTTGTCTTCTCTCAGCTTTCCTGCCCTTCACGGTGCCCATGGTGAGTAAGCTGCTGTGCACTGTTAGGACAGCAGGTAAAAGTTTAGCAAGATGCCCATGATCTCGGCTGTGGCCCTCCAGCTCTGGAGCCCTGCCCCTTGACTGCCTGATAGATGGTCACACCTGTGACCCTTGTCTGCTGTTTGTATCCACACCCCTGCCCCCACCCCGCTTACCCAGTCAGGCAGCTGGGCCTCTCGAAGGTCCACAGTGTGACACAGTCATCCTTTCTTTGAATGCCTGCTGTGCACAAAGCCCTGTGGAGGAGGTCAGTGAGTTAGGACAAGTTCCCAGCCACAGTTCCACGGACCTGTCCATTACCTTCCCTCCCCAAGCCCTCCCCTGGGACTTGGAATTGCGCCCCAGCGAGGCCATCCCACCTTGGTTCTCAGGAGGAGCTTTTGTCCACAGCACCAGCCTGTGCCTGCTCCCCCGGCAGGTGCGTACTTCCTAGCTGCCTTGCGGGACTGCAGGCCTCGGAGTCGGGCCCACTATCAGGCTCCCGGTGTCCTCCCTGCCGGTGGTTCAGTGCCCACCAGGTGCTCAGTACCCTCGGCTTGTCCGCTGGCCACAGCCCCTGTGGCATCACCTTCCTCTCCTTGCCCCAGTTCCTATATCTCCCCTGGAAAGTTCTTTGCTCCTGCAAGCCCTCCTTCCCCCGAAAACCCTTGTAACACTGCTCTACTTTCTTTTTAAAAGGTATTTTTGTCACTGATGCCAGCAAAAGGGCTAATGTCCATGATTTTACCTCAGGTAGCAATTATTTCTATTTCACAATTACTGAATTCTGTTATGCTCAAAACAAACCTGTGATCCGTCGCCTCTGCCTGCAGGTTTCCCTCTATACTTACACAACAGTGTTCAACATTATCAACGGAAATGCAAGCTATGTGAGTACTGCAAGACCCAGAGGATATGTGGGTTTGTGTTGTTTCCTTTGGAGTATTTCCTTTTTTAAAAAAAATTATCCTTGCTGGGCAAAACTGTGGTATCTGCTCAGTATGTACTTCTATTTTTCCTTAGAACCGTCGTCCACATGAGACTATACTACTAGGGGCAGGAGCCGCTGCTTCTTCAACCTTCTTTGGAGTAGGTATTTAGTAAGTCTTTGGAATCTTTTTTATTCCTCAGAATCAAAAAGCTTTATTTATTCTTTTTTTTTTAAAAAGATGACCGGTAAGGGGATCTTAACCCTTGACTTGGTGTTGTCAGCACCACGCTCACCCAGCGAGCTAACCGGCCATCCCTATATGGGATCCGAACCCGGGGCCTTGGTGTTATCAGCACCGCACTCTCCTGAGTGAGCAACGGGCTGGCCCAAAAAAAGCTTTATTTATTCTGATTACAAATTTATGTTCCAACTTAATTGAGAAAATATGGATAGGAAATAAGTCACCTGTGTGTCACCTCCAAATTAATATTCTAAGTCTCTAGGTATATACTCAGTCCTGTTATCTTTTCAAAAATGAGTTTATGCTACACAAACATGTTCTATGAATTGTATATTGTTTTGGATGTCAGGACACTGTAATGTTAATGATGTAGACTTTAGAGTTGGACAGTCGTGGGTTCCCATCCTGGCTCAAACCCTCAATGGCTCTAGGACTCTGGACAAGTTGCATAACCTCTTTAAGTCCCCATCACTCCTTGGATGAACAGGGAGGACACCTCGATGTTGCAAGAATTAAAACAAATTAGGGCCGGCCTGGTGGCGCACTGGATAGTGTGCCGCTTGGGAAGTGCGGCGGCGCTCCCGCCCGAGGGTTCGGATCCCACATACAGACCGGTTCCCGCTCACTGGCTGAGCGAGGCGCGGGAGCGACACCGAGGGTTGTGATCCCGTTGCCGGTCCCCGGTCCGGTGCGGGGGCAACACTGAGGGTTGCGATCCGTTGCCAGACACGGAAAAAGACAAAAGACAAAAAAAAAAACAAAAAAAACCAAATCAATACCTGGAGCACACTGGCAACGAACAGTCTGACCTGTTACAGGAACTAGCTCAG